AAGGCTAAACAAGGAGAGCTCAATTCAACTCAAGGCTACAGGTCTGCAGCTTTCATGTTGCCATCACCGGAAATGAGGCAGCCTGTGCATGCACCTTTATCACACCCGCCTCTGTCAAATGGGGATAAAGATATATATTTCTGTGTGCTGATGTTTGGATTATCACTGATCCTGGCTGCTAAGCAAACACTTGGGCCAAATTTAAGGGTATCTGTCATGCTAGCTTGCTCCAGCCCCACCCTAGAGACGAGAGCGAGGGTCATGAGACTGGAAAGGCTGACAAAAACAAATCTTTAATCAATATCTGAGCCCTGAACGCAAAACCCTCTCTCTTCCGTCTCTGTCTCAGAGCGCTCTGGGAGTGACAGTTTTTCTTTTTAATCTGTGCCCACATTGTGGAGAAATTGCAAGCTAATGTTTTGGCTATAGATCATTCAACAAATCGCTGCTGGCGGTGCATATCCAAAGTAACAGTTTGAATGCATTTTCCACAACAGTTCAGTGGCTAATATGGCTTAAGGATATGAGGAGCAGTGTAACAGTAGCTGTGCTTTTTTGCAGCTATACCTGGAACATGAGGGGGCTGAATCACAGAGGAACAGGCAGACTTGTGGATAAACATTTGGCTCTCATCTGCGTCCAGTAAGAAGTGCTGTGAAACTGAATTAGGCCCATGGCAATGTCTGTTATCATTAGGTTGGATGACGGCCATCCACTGGGCTGGACCAAAAATGCCCCTAAGAGTTTAGCTCCAAAATTAGCTCTGTTAGCCAAATGAGCTTAGCTCAGACATATTTCAGAAAGTGGGGTTAGAAATGTAAGGCTACCCAGAAAAGGAACACTCTGCTTCTTCTTGTGCACATAAATAAAATCTGAGCAACAAGTTATCAGTGGCATTGAATGATACTGGATGTAGATAACAAAACGTGTAAAAACTGAAAGCAAAACTCTAAAGATATGCAAAGAGAAGCTTGCTGTGATGCATCAAAATTTTGTCGGGAGGTTCCCCAGTCCGCCAATTTAAAATGTTAAGATAACTGTGTGTAAGCCGACTGTGAGTACACACGCAGTTTATTTAAACTGCACTGTTAACCTGATGCTGAAGTTCTATGACCTGTTACACCTAATGACATCTGTTTCAAAAGCTTTATTTTGAAGAAGCAATAGACTTTTCAACACTTAATCCTTGTATTATGTTCAAAGAATAACAATCATACACTTATGCAGTCACAGAAACAGTATAAAATCACTTGTTATATTTAAATCATTGTATTTGCATCAGCAGGGGATTTGAGAGAAAGCATGCAATTTCCTCCAACAAATGTGAAATTATAGCCAGTGAAATGCTTGAACATGATGAGGAATATAACAAGTATCTGGATTCAAACGTTCAGCTGGCGTGTGTGGGATGTGACATGCTCTAAGTATAATAAAGAGATGTATAGGAGGCAAGATGTCGAACCAGACCAATATCAGAGTGGACTTAAAGCTCAGACCAAAGGCAAAGGTGCAGCAGCAGGTTAACACGATGAAAGCATTTTGAAGATGTTGGCAGATGAATGAGAAAAAGAAAGTATTTTTAAAAAGAAGGTGGTCAAAGGAAATGCTGCGATGAACTCACACAGCCACGGTGCAGTGATAAACTGATGACATGCTCTCAATTAAAAGCGATCAGTCTGGTTGTGAGGCATGAAAGAAGGAGTGAAGGTGAAGAGGGAGTTAGGGCTGTTTTAACCAGCAGAAGGCTGTTGCACTATTTACAGTAATCCCTGTTGCCTTCATATTAGGAGATTCTCCTGTGATTTAGTAAGGCTTGTAAATTCTTGCTAACGTCTCTTATCATTTTCAGCCAAAGGTCATGACTTGCAGGCTCGTTTAACATTTTTTAAGCAAACATTAATCAGTCAAAACATGCATGATGTAATTCATTTAACAGCGGTTTCTTTTTAACAAATGGGAACCAAAAATGCAATTCCCTTTTGCTGTGCGTAATAGATTACTTTTCGCCATATTTCTCCTGTGCGTCCGAATCACTCATTTCAAGGTGCTTTACACCTGCACAGATCTTGAATATCTTCACTATTAATTTAACATTGAATCTACACGTAAAACTGGATATATTTGGGCTTCTAGTAAACGGAGCATTTGATTAGACCAAAGTCTCATGTGGGAGATCCTGAGCTGAGCTTTATCACAACAGAGTACAATAAGAGCAGTGTCAAATTTCCCCGGCAGTAATAGCAACGACGGCCCACAGTCCAAGGGCCGGTATCCCCACAGCCTGAAGGCTCCTGATGGGGACGTGTAGAGGCGTAGACTTAAAATAGCTATGTGTTAGTGCAGGACTGGGAAACCAATTATCTTTATCATTTGGCCTATAGCCCATTCGATAACACTCAACCATACAGTGAAATTACTAACCGCCCACCAGCAACAAAAAGTCTTCCTGAACTTCACTATGGTGTTGCTATGCTACGGCAAAACTACAGCAACAAAAGGATGAGTGTTTGACCTGAGACTCTCGCAGCAGCTGTTGTAAAAGACGCAAAAGGTGTTTTCCCTCCAAGTGAGAAACATTTAAAAGACTCTGGATGCAAACACGATTTTTTTAATTAAACTTGTGATCTCGCTGAACATTATTTCTTTTGCAGTATGACCATAAAATATGCAACATATGTGGGGGACAGAATTAAGCTTTTTCTTTCATGTCAATTAAATTAGAAACAGCAAATACATTTAATGACAAACATAATGTCAAACGAATCATCTTTTCTTTTAATTTAATGGAGAAATAGTCTTAATTCACCAACAGTCCTAATTAACTAACTTAGCTGGCCAGTTGCAAAAGAAAGCTTAACTTTCTCATATCAGAGTAATGTCTACTGACAGCCTATTTCATTTGTTTTCATTTGCCAAAATGGGCAATCTTGCAGTATACTATCCACTCTTGGTGACTTCAGCATTATTTTTGGTTATTTTTTATTCAAAAGGCCTCAGCAGTAACTTTAGAAATTCGTTTTTTTAATTAAAAATCTAACTAAAACGATTGATATTTACTTTACCTAAGTGGTTAAGTTGACAACCATCCAAACAAAACAACCTCCCTGAAAGCCGGCATGTATAAAATAAAGTGTTTAATTCACTCTTAAAACTTTATCTGTGACCACAATCCATCCAGCAATTAAATTGTCACAACAAAATAATTAGAAAGTCTGTTTAGTTATATACAAATGTAATGTTTCTAGGTGAATGGGTTGAAGATGTCTTTGTTTACTTTCCTTTAACAGCTTCACTCTGGACTCACTCTGGCTCCATGTGGTTATTATAGTATAGCATAATAAGGGAAGACTGTCAAAAAGTCAAACAGCTGAAAAAAAAGAAGTCCAGGCCTATTACTGGAAGTTCAACAAACATGCACACACGGTTAACTGCCTGCAACAAACTGAAAATGACTCTTTATGTGTTCTCAGCCCTCACCGAGCTCAGCCATCCATAAAAATCCCATCTCAAGGAGAGCAGAGGTGAGGTCTCCCCCCCCCCGCCTCACTCCCTCTCTCTGGCTCCTGTTCTCTTCTACCTCTTTCTCCCTTTTCGCTTACACATGCACACAAACAAAGCCCTTCCTTCTGTGTCATAACTACTCCCACAATTACTCAGACGATTGCTCAGATCAATGGTTTTACCTGCCGTTTTTGAGCGGCTGTATTCAGCTACAGAGTGTCCCGGCGAGGCAAGAAAAAGCTCCAGGCTGAACGCATTAAACAGGCTGTCTGACACGGGTACGGGATACTGTAATACCACGCAATAACATGAGGGAAAAAAGCAAGACTGGCAAAACGTATTGTCAGTCACAGCTGTCACACATGAGGGGAAGCCTATCAACAGTGTCCCTTTTGCAGTCTGCATCCCTGTTTAATAGATCCGCACAAACAGTCCCCTGCTATTAAATCTCTAAAAAAAACATTCCCTCTTCTAAAAAACACCCAAAATATTTGGTGCAGAAGAGCTCTCCCTGTGACAAATACCAAGCGAGGACTCTAACAAGAGGTTAGGGGGTTATTTCAGACTCTCTATTTAGAAATGACAAAACATGAGCACACTTAATTACCCAGTTTCAAGTTTAGTTCAACACAGTCTTCCAGCAGTGAAGAGACTGTTGTGTTTATTAACAATGAAGGGGCTCCTTTCTGCAGAGAAACAATCTGCTTTACAGAGGACACTTTATTCAATGGGTGCAGGCAGACGGAGGCTAAAAGAGGACTGAAACGAAAAAATCCCCCCTCAAACAAAATCAAGAGTTTGACCTATATTTCTGACTGATCTTTGTTTGGGTTGTGACAGAAAATAGCAATGGTACACAGACTGCTAAGTGCACTGAAGCAATTCCCACAGATGCTGGTTTTAAAAGTCAGCTATGATGTTGTGTTGTCTTTGTTCTTTGGCCCTAGTCGACAGTTCTCATGGAGAAAAAATGTAATGAGAGGGAGGCAAAGGCAAAGATTAATACATTTGAAGGGAAAAAATCTCAAAGGGTACAACTTTCTCTTCATATTTTGAGTCGTGCACCATTTCATTTTGCAAGATTTGAGAGTCATTATAGTGAACTTTAATTGTTTTCCCATATCAAATGCTTGTTTCAGAGGGGAAAAAACTGAGAAAAGGTACAGAGGCCATAATTGATGGCTCAAATGTAAGCGTTCTCTCTGAGGGTCTGCTCAGGTCCTGATCCCCTGGCCTCAACCTGAAACAATCACTCTTAGTTAACGACAACACTTCAGCTATTGACAGCGTGATCCCGTAAAGCAGACACTTCAATCAACAGAGCAGCCCGCAGGAGGTGTTGTGTTGGGAGGAGAATAAAAGGAAGAAAGGGGGAACATGGGGGGGGGGGGAACGGATGAAATCAAGAAGTAAATAAATGAATCGATGGATGAATAATAGATTGGCCAGCTAGTGGCCTCTCTCGGAGCAGCGATGCAGTATTAATAACTGACTCTTACTGTTCGTCTCTGTGTCATCACTGATACTCTTAGGTGGACCGTGGCCAGCATAACACACTGCTGATCTGTACATTCGATCCGGATTACGAACTTTCTTCAGTCCTTCAGGAGGCAAAGAGAAAAGTAGAGAAAATCGAGGAAAAGAAGCATTCTCCCAGACTGTGATTTCTAAGCATCTCCCCATGCAACAATATCAACAGAGGCTGAATAATATATTGAAATACATTTAAACACACAGGAGCTATTGAGAAAATATGATGCATATACAATGATTATTTTTAAATATAACAATAAAAAGGATAGATAAACGTGTGAATGCTGGTCTAAAACAGTGGAGTTCTTCTTCTCTTTTGACCTATAAGAAAAACTGCAAGGGGCACTGCACATCTGGCCTGGTTTGATACGGGTCAATAACACTCCCTATTATATCAGCTGTAAACTGAATGAATCAATACAATCAGTCAGTGGAAGTCGTGCAAATCAGTCAGTTAAGGTCCGTTACAGGCAGGCATTGTAATGAAACGTCTCAGCGACCACGAAACCAGACCTGGGTCCCATCCATCCATAACCTCAAGGATTCAATTAAAAAGCTAAAGGGGTATAAAAAAAAAAAAAAAAAAAAGTAAGTCCTGATTCAACACAAAACCGGGAGAGCAAGTCATCCAACAACACAAGTGAGGTTAAATTCATCCTTCTTTACAAAACAGCCGAGAAATATTTATACCATTGCTGCACAAGCACTTTTGTAAGTTAATGGCTGACTGCGTGCTTACTTGATGTTTTGCTGCGGCTTCACCCTGAACTTTTGAGTGAAATGATAACATCATGAAACTTTTTAAGCTGCAAGCGCTCAAAAATAAAAGGGGAAATATTTCTTCTAGCACAGCTGGGGCTACCGGCATTTTGGAAGACAACCTTTGACTGTTTCTTTTGTAAAGGAAGTTTGTGCTTTGCAGTCAATTTAACACACCTGTGTGAGTTCTGTGTGGAAGTCAACTTTCCCTACATCCTTGGCCAGGCATTTGCCAAATTATAAATTAATGTAAATATGCTACACTCTTCTGCCTCGCCTACAAAAAACTATGCTTGAACCTAATTTCCACCTCAGAGATTTAACTTTAACACAGTTTCCTTTTTTTTTATTGAATCCCAGCATCACAAAAGTGTAAATGCTGCAGCTTCTGCTTCCAATTTATTTTTTTTTTTTTTTTTTACAAATGTGGCTTTTGTACAACAACATTTCCACCACTATGTGCTCTAGTCGACTCATAGGACCACTGGCTGTAGTGTTATCATGAGCAGTCTCAGTGTAAGACGTATCAAGCCTGTCTTGCTGGTGCCCTCAAGGCCTTGTACTTAAAGTAACGGACCCAGAGTGCTTTTTATGAGTGTGAAGAAAAAAAAATATCCTCAAGGGCCCTGACAATCATTTAGGCTGGGTAGAAATACCCCAGGATGTAAACATTACACCACTGAGTGAGACTGGGTCATGGCCCCTGGGTTTAACACAAGATGTAACCCTCAGTTGTTATGGGCCATCATAAGACCTGCCAAACATCTTGGAGAGATCAGCACTGCCCGCATACCACAAGGACAAAAGGTTAAGGAAAGGCTGATCGGCTCCCTCAGTGGCTACCAAGGAAACGTTGTGTAGCAGTGATGTACATTTAAAAAGTCTGCTTGGTATTATCTTATAGCCAAAAGTAAGAAAACCTGAAAGCAGGAGTAAAGATTCAGCATGACAGCTCTGTGTAAAAAGCATTAAGGGCCAGGTTTGCACAAGACGACACCACATTTACATGAAAGTATGAAGCACTCTTCCTCTTTCTCTCTCTCTTTGGTCCCTTTGCTCCTCCTCCTCCTTTTTCCACTGACCGGCCTCACAGGAACACTGAAAATAACTTAACCTGCTCAGCAATGGGACTTTCAAGTCAGGGTTTTTCAGGGAGAGCTCCCTGCGTTGGAGAGACATCCACACTAACTACTTAAGCATATTTGTTGGGTCCAGCTATGTAGATGAATACGTTAAGACTTTACACAACAGTGAAGTCATTACTATCATAAAACTAGATGTCTTCATTTTTTTGTCATGGCCACAGACACATCCTTCATATGGGAAGTGAGATTCTGTAGCTCAATAGCACCCCCTGGTGGGACTTGGTTTGGTGGTTGGCACACTGACATCCAAACAACTGAAGTCTTTTATCGTTTCTCCTCACATTGACAGAAGCAATTTGTTTACACTCTTTTGAAACATTAAAGTAATTCTACATCAAGAAGAATGCATGTTTGAGAATACTGACACCTTACTTTGACTCTGTTTTAGGGCCTGCAAAATGTGTTTTTCCCAGCTCAAGGGAGCTGCTTTCTGTGGAAATCTGCTTCTCGATTTCTCAAATTAAGCAGCCAATAATGAGTCTAGAGTGACTGTTTTTTCTCCATCTACTAGGTCAATATGGACATAGCACAAGTTTCAGGGGAAAGCAAGAAAACAATGTAGAAATGACATATCGTTAAACTCAGTTCAGCTTATCAAAAAAAAAAAAACCTAAGGTTAAACCTTTAAATGAGTAACATACTGCGAGCAAAACACAAAATATCACCACACATTAATGAACATGAACATCACTTTAACACGGTTAAGCATTTTCCCACAAAATTCCAAACAATACAATTTTAAGGTGCTTCATGCTTTGGAAAATCTTCTAACAGTCATTCTTGTCAAAGATTATTAAATTAATAAGTCATCCCAGTCCAGCTCAAAACAATCGCCTATTAAACTGCCATCTGCACATGAAAACTAGTCCATTTATAAATAGTGTATCTTAATATTCATAAATGCATTTTTTTATTTACTCACCCCAAAAATCCATTGGTATATCTGGATTAGGACAGGTAGTTTTGCATATGGTTTGTGAGAGGGGGGGAGGGACAACTAACCTGAAAATAAGTAATTGCGTTTCATTTTAAGTTAGTGAGCGTCGTGAAATAAGACGAGAGGGGTTAAAGAGTCATTATTTGTCCCTGTGTGTTAAACTATTGTAATGTGCAGGGCTGCTTTGAAATCCGCCTTCCCTCACTGCTGCCTCTTGCTGTGATGGCATTTCATCCTAAGTGCGATAGGGCATTGCAAGCGGAGCGGGCATTTACGACGTTTGCATGCCCGTGTCTCACACCAAATATAGGCCAAGTGATATAATTGGAAAACATAATATCCGCTCATTTAAAAAGACTATTACATCACTTCTGAGTCGCAAACACTACACGCTGAATGCCAAAGAGGGGGGAAAAACCTCTCGCGCTTCGACACAGTCTGTGCGAGAAAGACAAAATAAAAGAAACTAGGGTAACATATTCAAAAACAGATTTCTAAATTAATACCAAAAACAAGCTGCAAATAGCGCTTCGCAGGAGACAGCAGCATTGACAGATAAACTATCACAACCACGCCGCTTTTTAAAGCTGTGCAATAAGGGGGAAGAAGTTAGTCGATGCCAATGACATGTTGTCATTAACTTAGCCGTGTTGTTAACAACTTGAATGGCGTTTCGTGCGGCGAGAACCGCGAGCGAAAATAAACGGGGTAAACGCGTCACTTCAACCACGCTGACTGTTTCGTCCCCGTGGCGTGCTTTTAAATGTGGGCTACGATGGGAATAGTGGGGCTGGCTAGAATGCAAGCTAATATTAGCTGGCTAGGTGATGTCTCCACGTTTTAGCTGCCTCTATCGGAAGGAGAAAAAAAATAAGCGGAGCCGTTTTCTTACACGGAAAATCTCCCCGCTCGTCCCCGGTGCGTGTGTGTTCGTCTCCGCGCAGAGTTACAACTGTTCTAAACATCACACAGGGTCATACTAGTAAAATTAATCCCATTATATTTCTCTTACCTTCCGGCTTGTTTTCGGCAGCCATTTCCCCTTCACGCGCAACATCCTCCTCCTCCTCACGACCGTGGGTACCACGCGCGTGCACGGCGAGGACAGCACGAGGAGGGACTGGAGGAGCAAGCGGCGAGTCGGTCCGGCCGAGGAGAACTTACCATTGGCTGTGAGGCGGTGACTGACAGAGAGGCTCCGGGATGGAAAACACATCTCCCCTCACCTTGACACCATCAGCCGTGTTTTTTTTTTTTTTTCTTCACACTGAATTTTTCAAACAGCTCAGAGGCGCTGCTGCTCTGGCATGACGCCTTTTAAAATATAGTGACGACTTATGATATAAGACTAAAAAAAAAAAGACATAAATGAGTCTCCAGTTGACGAGCCTGTGAAAATCAAATGTTGTCTCGCCAAAGTTGTTCAACATCAAGTAAACACTGTCTCTTCTGAATGACAGACAAATATCTTTAAATAGCCTAATGTTAAGTGCCTTGTCATTAGGACTAAATTAACTGTTCACTGACCATCGATATATATTTTTTTAAACATATCACTACTGATCTAAACTAATGTTTTAATAATGCAATGGTTGCCCAATGAGGTTCACACTTTTCGTTGGCTGTAAAAGGAAGACCACTCTACATTTCGAGGGCATAGACATCCTTAAAAGGGAATATATTAAAATCGCATTTCATCTTTTATCAGGCCTAATTTTAAGTTAAAATTGTGTAGTGTAAACTGTGATTTTCAGTGAGTCCTCAAGGATGTTTGTCTTTTTTCAATACAAAAAAAACCAACAACAACAACATTTAAGACTTATCAGACCGCCAGTGACAGCATGCGCAGTCCATCAATCAAGTGTCCAGCTGTCAGTTTACATTTGAAAGCCCGTGGACTTGTTTGTTATGGACACGTCGAACTGATTTCACATAGTGGCGCCCTGATGCGACCATTGGTGGCTGATGGTGAAAGGCTATCTAAGCAGTGGGGTCTGCGACGCACAGATTCAAAGACCCATCCGCCGACACAGTTACTTTTAAAAAAAACATTCTGTTCACTTTGCTGTCAAGGTTTTCAACTGCAGCCACATAGGCTTGACAATGGTATGGCCACTACGCTAAATGACTACAGGCAATCTAATTAGAGATCATCGCGCTTAATAGACTTTGCTTTTGGCACTCGCATCAAGTACAGCACTTAAACTACAGCCTTCAGCTTATATTACCGTGCGGGTGGGCCCCAGTGCTGAAATGGAGTGTATAGTGTGAGATGGTGGTGCTGAAAGGACAGCTCCTCTGCTGCAGCTGTCGCGCCTTATACAGTCAACGACAGGCTTGTTGTATATCTTATAAAGAAAGTAATAATGAACGAATGAAAGGCCTGATAGAAGGGACGATTCCCTCAACCATCGTCTTAATTTGTCAATTTGTTCAAAGTGGACACGATGCAGAAAACATCTCTTTAGAATTAAACACACACACTACCAGCTTCATTTTGTGTGTGTGTGTTTTTCTCTCTCGACGAAACATGTACACTATTCAAATAAGTGTTTTTCTAGTTTAACTAATGACCTGTTTTATCATTGGGAAGAATGACTAAGACATTTAATAGTGTTGGTGATACTCTGATTGTAAGAATTAAAAAAAAACATATTATTTGAATATATCAATATAACTATCGAGATTATCAAGTATTTTGTGTCTCCCCCCTTCATGATATCGCTAGAACAATGAATACCTGTAGATTTTAAGCGTCTAGTTTCATTTTTAAAGTTAAAAATGAAATAATATAATAACATAAACGCAATTTCTAACCTCATTCGGAGACAAAATGGACTTATAAAGTGCTGTCAGGCTCTTTATGGGTTTGTTGTCTCTTTCTATTCTGTTCTCACTGGGGGGGGGGGACAGATATTTAATCACGGTTAAAAAGTTAAAAATGAAACATGATCAAGGCTTGCACAGGCGTCGTCGTCGTCGTCGTCGTGTGTAGTCATTCATCCCAAACACAAGGGGGCGACTGAGTGCGCGCAGCCCACGTCTTCGAGCTGCGTAAATCCCAACGAAGAAGAGATGACCGGGTGTAAACATGGCGTCTGCCTTGGACGATGATGAGATCCTAAATGACGATTACTATTCCCTGCTGAATGTCAGAAGAGAGGTACGTCGTGCGGCCGTGCTCTGTGTTGACGTGTGTGCGGGACTGCGTGCGACTCGTTCCGTGAACTCTGTCCCTGTGGTTCGTAAAGGTGACTCGTGTAGTCACATGTGACGTTAGCTAGGTGGCTAGCTGGTTGACCCTCGACATTGATTTCTGTGCTGTGTGACTCCTCGGCTGCACACCTTCAACACATACAACAGGTTGTTCCGCTGCAACTTCACTAACAGGAGTTGTCAGGTGATGCAGTCAAACGCAGAAGCCGGTGTTATCCCGGTATTCTTGTGAGCTTTATGTTGATTTTTTAGCAAAGTGACTCTTTATTTTGCAGTTTCTTAGTATTTCTCTTGGACTTTGCATATTTGCTAACTGGCTAATGCTACAACTGTGTTTGAGTGTTGCATCATAATTAAAAAAAAAAGTTAATTAGATTACTGTGTATGCTGATAAATCTCTGATGGTGATATTATTGTTTTTTTAATCTGTAAAGCAGAAGACATTATTTCATATTCATGCAGTATTAACTTCAGTAAATGAGCATGCTGTTCTACATTTAAGTGTTTCTCAGACATTGGGTTATTATTCCAAACAGGAGTGCATGTGTGTTTAGATTACAGGGAAGTTGTGTTTGTATGAAAAACTTGCTTTTATTAATGCATATAAGCATGATGAACCTGATCAATTGTATGTCATATGGTGAACTCAAACTAGAATATTATGTTGTTGTTTTTGATTGAGAAAAATGACACTTGGTTAAACTGCAATATTTACTCTTATTTTGACATTTTGAAATATGATTTATACAAAAAAAACAACGACATACTCTATAATTGGAACGTAGACAACAACAGGGAGTTTGCTCTACAGGCTGTTCGTCATGTAAACCTGCTAAGTAACATTTTTATATTTCTGGGTTAAAAGACTTACGAAGCTCAGGAAAGCCATGGGACGATGTTATTCTACAATTCACTTAGCAGACGCTTTTATCCAAAGCGACGTACATCAGAGAGTAAGAACAACACAAACAAAGGATCTGGAAAAAAAGGGAACAATGTCAGTAAGAGCAAACGATCAGCTTTGAGTCCGATTGGACACACAGGTGCTGACAGGAAGTGACCAGAGGCAAAGCACAGCATTGAGGGCAGTTCTTGAGAGCTCTAATCAGTATAGAAACCATCTTATAAGTCATCGTTATCAAACAAAAACCATCGTCACAACCATCATCATCATCAGTAACATCGAGACCATCATCATTAAGTTAGTAGGTATTCATGAAAGAGCTGCAGAGGGACTCTGCAGATCGAATGGTTGTTATGTTGGTGATAGTGGTGCAGCTGCGTCCTGTCATTTGTTTTGTTTGTTGTTGGTTAAGTTTCTCTGCAAGTTTCTCTCCCTCAAATGTTCTCCATTTCGATGTTGTGCTTCAGGCGACACAGGATGAGCTGAAGGCTGCTTACAGGCGATTGTGCATGCTGTATCACCCAGACAAACACAGGGACCCTGACCTGAAGCGCCAAGCGGAGCAGCTTTTTAACCTCGTACATGAAGCCTATGAAGGTAACAAAAGCTACACATGCAGCTTAGGTTGAGTTGAATCATTTACATCACGGTATCAAAAAAAAAAAACATGAACAATTGTGATGACTAGTTTTTTTTGTTTTTTTGTCTGTGCCTTTAAAGTGCTTACTGACCCCCAGGCGCGAGCTATCTATGATATCTATGGGAAGCGAGGACTTGATGTGGAAGGATGGGAGGTAAGTCCATCAGTGAGAAAGTTCTAAACAATCTGCAACATTTGGTTGGAAACAGTTTCCATTGTGTCAATTTACAGTCCACGGTTCTCTTGGAGTCGTACCATGCATTGTAAGCTAGTGTAACAAATCTGATATTCACTTTTCACAGGTGAAACATCTTCTTTTTTTTTAAATGCCAGCAGTCTGCTTATGCATATGTCAAGAAAATAACACAAAAAAGTATTTGTGTGTGAATGTTTTCTCAGTTTTGTTCACCTTAACTAATTTGTTAGTAACAACCATGCTGTACATAGCATTATATTTAGGCATTGACACTGCATACTTCATATGTGACTTACCTACTCTTTATGTTAATGCCTCATTTAAACCGCTCAAAATAGTTCCTCTGTTGTTGCTAAATCCAATGATGCTTCACAGTTAAAGTGTTTTCAATGGAAGAACACAGAGAGCTTGGAATGTCGTCCTCTGTAACTCTGTATCTCCAGCTTGTGAAGTATCCAACCCACTTTGTGCTGTACACTAAAATCCTATCTTCTTACTCCAGGTGGTGGAGAGAAAAAGAACTCCAGCAGAGATCCGAGAAGAGTATGAGCGTCTTCAGAAAGAGCGAGAGGAGAGAAGGCTTCAGCAAAGGACCAACCCAAAGGTAGGAACAGGGGAAGATAACAAGCCTCAAGGTGTCTTTATGTGTTCATCATTAAAGAGCACAGGATTAATTCAGTCGAGTCTGTTGTTGTTTTTTTTTCAGGGAACTATAAGCGTGGGAATAGATGCCACAGACCTCTTTGACCGATATGACGAAGACTACGAGGAGGCGGCGGGAGGGGGAGTCCCACATGTGGAAATCAACAAGATGAACATATCACAATCCATAGAGGTAATGGGGTTGTCCCAGAAACTACATCAGCTGTATACTTTGATAGATATTTGGAATGAAAGATTTGCTGAGTCAATTCAATTGAACCTTGAAGACAGATTTTGGAGCTAATTGTGTATCGAATGTTTTGTGTTATGTGTTCTACTGCAGGCTCCTCTCACCACAAAAGACACAGCTGTAATGTCAGGCTCCTTGTCAACCCACAACGGAAATGGAGGAGGGACAATAAACTTAGCTTTGAGAAGAGTCACCTCAGCTAAGGGGTGGGG